TCCACCCCTTTTTCCAGAGAAATGTGACATTTTGACATTGAATTTCCTTAGAAACTGCTAGTGCTTCATCAGAGAAGGATCCGGTTTGCTAGAGTTATACAATTGGTTTTTTTTTCTAGAATGGGTAAAAATAGGATGTGTATTTTTGGTTTTCTAGCTCACGGCCATGGAGCTAAAGGGGATAATATTTACACATTCCAAATTGAGTTCCTGGAACCAGTCAACCCTAAGGTAAGAGTTGATTACTTGCTGTCTAATAAAAAAATATATATCGGTGTGTTAAAAGGTTCCCAGGCTTTTATTTAGTTAAGAGCACAGTTAAATACATAGAGTAATGTATTACTCTATGTATTTAATCATAGAATAACAGAGTTGGAAGGGACCTTAGAGGTCATCTAGCCCAACCCTCTACTCGAGCAGGAGAGTCTATGCCATATATTAGCCTCTACCTAGGATCAAACTCATAGCCTCCTGATTGTGAGGCAAGAGCTCCACCTCTAGGCCACCAGAGCTGCATATAAATGCAAAATTAAATGTAAAATTAAATAAATCCAATCACTTGTCAACTGTACAGGTAGTCCTCGACTTACGACCACAAATGAGCCCAAAACTTCTGTTGTTAAGTGAGAAATTTGTTGAGTTTTGCTCCATTTTACAACTTTCCTTGCCACATTTGTTAAATGAACCACTGCATTTGTTAAATCTCTCTCTATAAAAACGAAAGTCCACTCATGCATCATCAAAAAAATCTCCAGAACCATAAAGCCTACAAACTTGAAAGTTGGCCTCTTGGCTTCTTAGGTGTTCGCTAAGAAAGGGTTTTTCGAAATGACCATCAGAGCATTAGTATTTCCTATATTATTATTATTAACACGCTCTGATGCTAAGGAGTTCAAGGTCGCAAAAGGGGATCACGAGATCATCTACTGGTGTCAGGGAACAGCCCACAATGTTTTGTGCTGTACTCACCACCTTCTGTAATGTCTTTCTATCTGCGGCTGTCAAGCCAGCATAAATATGTGAGGACGCTTTCTTTTGTGGACCAGTAAAAGGAGGCCATCAGTCATTGTTCCACTTTATTCTTTCACAAGACCCTGAGGAAATGGAGTCTCTGTTGGGCCTTTCTGGCCACCTGGGTTGTGTTGATTTCCCAGGTTAGATAGTTCACACATTAAGAGTGGTTTCTTGGAGATCCTCAAAACCAGGGGTCTCCAAACTTGGCAACTTCAAGAGTTGTGGACTTCAACTCCCAGAATTCCCCAGACAGGCTGGCTGAGGAATTCTGGAAGTTGAAGTCCACAAGTCCTAAAGTTTGCCAAGTTTGGAGACCCCTGCCCCAAAGCATCAAAGCAGAAAACACTACGCCAGCCTTTTGCCCCCTGACCTACACAAATACACCTTGTGTTAATCCTAAACAGGCTTGGCCTGTTGAGTGAATGAAATCCGTTTGGTTTTAACTCAGCAAGTTAAGCATTAGCAGGACAACAATGACGTATCGGCGCAGAGTGAACCCAGAATGAACTTTGACCTTGATTGAATGCGGTGTGCAAGATACAGGTCAGCTCAGCATTTCTCAACCTGAGCCACCTGAAGATGGGTGGGCTTCAACTCCCAGAATGCCTTTGCCAGCATGCATTCTGGGAGTTGAAGTCCACAAGTCTTAAAGTTGCCAAGGTTGGATACCCCTGATTTAAAGAGTAGCAACAACTACATTTATTCTTTCATAGCAGCTTTCCTGATGGGCTTGTAGGAGGGTAACATTTTCCGTCTCCCTTTTTAGAAAAAAAATGTATTTCTGCATTATTTGGGGATCCCAGAAAGATCTTGTGTTTTCTGAAATAGCAGAGGTCTCCAACCATGACCACTTTAAGACTTGTGGATTTCCAACTCTCAGAATTCTTCAGCCAGCATGACAGTATGAGGAATTCTGGGAGTTGAAATCCACACATCTTAAAGTTTGCCAAGTTGGATAGTTGAGGAATTCTGGCAGTTGAAATCCACGCATCTTAAAGTTTGCCAAGTTGGATAGTTGAGCAATACTGGGAATTGAAGTCCATACACCTTAAAGTTTGCCAAGTTGGATGGCTGAGGAATTCTGGGAGTTGAAATCTACCCATCTTAAAGCAGGGGTCTTCCAACTTGACAGCTTTAAGTCTTGTGGATGTCAACTCCCAGAATTCCTCCTCCAGTCATGTAAGCTCAGGAATTGTGGGAGTTGACGTCCACAAGTCTTAAACTTAAAGTTTGAAGACCCTTGTCTTCAAGTTTGCAAGGATGGGTGGCTGGAGAATTCTGGGAATTGAAGTCTACGCATCTTAAAGTTTTGCAAGGTTGGATAGTTGAGAAATTCTGGGCGCTGAAGTCCACACATCTTAAAGTGCCCAAGATTGAAAACCCCTGTGAAATAGAATGTCGCAGCAAGAGTCCTTATCAGACATCAGATCTCCTTTGCAAAGCCCAACTGGTTTTTCCAAGGATCTTGTGCCTGCAGAACTGGATCTAGGTTTTATTTCATGAGCTTTGGGTTTTTTGGGTTCAAGCCTGGTCAACACATAACAACCACAATTGCATTGGAAGGCATGATGAAATGTTGCAACAACCGCCCTGCAGATTGAATTAGCTCCCCTCAATTACTCAATCATTATTTGCACCCAGACTAGAAATTCTGGTCATTCCAGCCTCTCGTGAATGCGGCTTAGGGAAGTTTGCCCACTGTGTAAATCTGCAAATTGTAGGCAAGACTGTGCGGTCAGCAATAAGGGCAGGAGGCTCACAGTATACGTGGCGAGATTACCGTGTGTACAGAGGTGGAAAGATTTGACCCACCCACTACGCAGGGCGAAGGTGGCAGGTTTTGCTGCAATTAATAAATGGACTTTTTTAATTAGAAAAAAGGCAGCATCTACATTTATTGGGGACTGGAAGCCTCTCACGGGCCGTTTGCATGAAAACAACAAAAAATAAATAAATGAGTGATTTATGGTTTTGATGATCAGATAGGATGCAGAAAGAAGGGTAAGGTAATGTCTCTTTAGAGAGAGACAGAGATTAAAATACATTTATACTCATTACGGCTGTGAAGAATATCGGAAGCCACTTCTCTCTATCTTTTTTCTTTCCTGTTTTTCTTCAACTTTTTTTCTTGAATTTTTTGCTTTTTCTGTGAGTTCTTTCTCTTTTTTCTTTATTTATATTACTTTGTACAGGTAGTCCTCAACTTACGACTCCAATTGAGCCCAAAATTTCTGCTATTCTATTCTGCATTCTGTTCTGTTCTATTCCCTATTTTCTACTCTGTTTTCTACTATCTCGATACCCGTGCTTCGCTACGAAACTATGTGGTCAGGCTTAGTTTTTGGGGACAAAAATAAGGGGAAAAAATTCTGCCTCTGCCTACCAGCATCCATTGGTATTCATCTGGCCAGCGTCCTGTCAGTGTGCGAGAGAGTTGACGGCTGTTTGGAAAGTAAAACAGTATTTGCTCTGTGAGCAAGAAGGAGACAGCAAGGAACCTGGGCATGGCTTAGCTCAACTGTTCTGTACTAAAGCTGCTTGGTGCTGCTGGGAAACCGAAACTCCTCTCCTCTGCTTGAGTTTTGCACTTGGAACAGATTTCTTTTCAGGTGGGGAGGGGGAGCAGAACTCCTTAGCATCAGAGCGTGTGAATAATAACAATAAGATAGGAAATACTCTAAATGCTCTGATGGTCATTTTGAAAAATCCTTTCTTAGTGAACACATAGAAGCCAAGAGGAACATACGTGGCAAATTTCAAGCTTGTAGGCTTTACAGTTATGGAGATTTTGTGATGATGTGTCAGTGGTATTTCACTTATATATCTATATATAGATTTCTATTCTATTCTATTCTATTCTATTCTATTCTATTCTATTCTATTCTATTCTATTCTATTCTCCACTCCACTGTACATTTCTATTTCTATTCTTCTAACTTCCTGGAGTGAAATTTAAGCATCCTGGGAAATACACGCCAATGATTGGCTCAATTGGAAGTAAACACAAAGCAAACCCAATTGTAATAAATAAAATGTACAAAATCCAAGGGAACATTAGGAAAAAGCTTGATGTTGTGCACTTTCAATGATTGTGCCACCTTTAACTGTGCAGTCACCAAACAGTTGCTTGTTGCTCCTTGGGTGTGTGGGTGTGTGGGTGTATACAACCCATCTGACACGGAGTAATCTGGCTTCTGGAGAAGCTGTTTGTTTTCCTGACCTCACGAGGAACTAGCTTGATCCTGGGTAAAACCGGAATGCTTTATATATCTTGATTTGAAAGTTAATTCTGGATCGTGCAGCAGCCTTTCCTGAGCTAGTGTCTTCCCAGGGCCCCTGTTCCCCAGCTAAAATGACTATGGTAACTGACAATTGCGTCTCAGGCAGGGGTAGTTAAGGAAGGCTGTTTCTAGAACAGGGGTGTCCATACTTGGCAACCTTAAGACCTGTGGACTTCAATTCCCAGAATTCTTCAGCCAGCCTGGTTAAATCCACAGGTTTTAAAATTTTCAAGGTTAAACACCTTGTTCTATCTAGAGAGTTCCTTGCAGTCAATAATATATCAGTTTCATGCTGGAGGCATGCCCCCTACAGACCTCTTAGGAAAGGGGTGAGGTCAATAGTAGACAGTCTGAGGTTAAAGTTTTGGGGTTTTGGGGAAGAAACCGCAGAGTCAGGTAGAGTATTCCAGACATTGACCACTCGGTTGCTGAAGTCGTATTTCCTGCAATCAAGTTTGGTGCGATGAACCTTGAGTTTGTATCTATTGTGTGCTCTTGTGTTGTTATGGTTGAAGCTGAAATATTCATTGATAGGTAGGACATTGCAATGTATGATTTTATGTACTATACTTAGATCGGACCGAAGGCGGCGTAGTTCTAGGTTTTCTAGGTCTAGAATTTCAAGACTGGTGGCATAAGGTATTCTGCAAAGAGGAGAGGAGTGGAGAACTCTTCCTGTGAAATATTTCTGGACTTTCTCAACTGTGTTAATATCAGATACGTAATGTGGGTTCCAGACCGACGAGCTGTATTCGAGTATTGGTCTAGCAAATGTTTTGTATGCTCTAGTTATTAGTGTGATATTACCAGAGAAAAAACTATTATTATGAAAAAGTAAAAAAGCTGAGGGTAGTTGTAAATGCCTCTCTTTTTTTTTTCTAACATGCATTGTCACCCGAAGCCCCTTTTCCTTAAATGGCTGTCTGCTTTCTCCCCCCCACTCCTGCTCTTTTAGCCGGTGTATAAAGTGACGCAGAGGCAGCTGAACATCACGGTGAAGAAGGAGGAGAACCACTGGTGGGAGAGACTGACCAAGCAGGAGAAGCGGCCGCTGTTTCTCGCTCCGGATTTTGACCGATGGCTGGACGAATCGGATGCTGAGATGGAACTGAAGGCCAAGGTGAGGACAGGTGGCCAACATGGCTTTTGGTAAGCAGGTCGGGAAGAGAGGACTTCTCCGGTGGACATTAAGCAAAGAATTGTTCAGCCCAGAACCCACCTGTCCGATCTGCCCCAACCTATCCCATCAAGAGGCCGTAATTCCCGTGCCGTAATCAGCATTCTGCAGGTAGTCCTCTACTTACCACTGTAATGAAGCCTATCCGTTACATTCGTAAGTCATGACGCTAATAAATGGGCAGTTCTGGGAGTTGAAGTCCACCAATCTTAAAAGTGGGCACCATTCTTAAAAGTCTTCCTTAAGTGTGGTATTTTCCCAGGTGTAAAAAATGCTTTGGACTCTTAAATCTTGAAATTGAAAAACGGCGCAACCAGTGGTGGGATGCTGCCGGTTTGGAGCGGTTCACGCGAACCGGTAGTTCCAACGATCAGTTGGCCCTGCCCTTTATTTCCTGCTTTGTAGCTCATCTACAGCGGCTAAGACGCTGAGCTTGTCGATCAGAAAGGTCGGCAGTTCGGCGGTTTGAATCCCTAGCGCTGCGTAACGGAGTGAGCTCCCGTTACTTGTCCCAGGTTCTGCCAACTTAGCAGTTCAAAAACACGTAAAAAAATCCAAGTAGAAAAACAGGGACCACTTTGGTGGGAAGGTAACAGCGTCCAGTGCGCCTTCGGCGTTTAGTCATGCTGGCCACATGACCATGGAGACATCCTCGGACAGCGCTGGCTCTTTGGCTTTGTAACGGAGATGAGCACTGTCCCCTAGAGCCAGAAACGATGAGCACGTATGCGCAAGGGGAACCTTTACCTATAGTGAAAAGAAGGACTAGGTGGGACATGATAGCAGTCTTCCAGTATTTGAGGGGTTGCCACAGAGAAGAAGGGGACATGGTAGCTCAGTGGCTAAGACGCTGAGCTTGTCGATCAGAAAGGTCAGCAGTTCGGCGGTTCGAATCCCTAGCGCTGCGTAACGGAGTGAGAGCCCGTTCCTTGTCCCAGCTTCTGCCAACTTAGCAGTTTGAAAGCAAATAAAAAATGCAAGTAGAAAAATAGGGGCCCCTTTGGTGGGAAGGTAACAGTGTTCCATGCGCCTTCAGCATTGAGTCATGCCGGCCACATGACCACGGAGATGTATTTGGACAGCGCTGGCTCTTCAGCTTTGTACCGGAGATGAGCACCTCCCGCTAGAGCTGACTAGCACGTATGTGCGAAGGGAACCTTTACTTTTACCTATTAGCTCATCTCAATTGCGTGGCACAGCTGATCCCCCCTGCCGTCCTAGTTACCGTTGCTGATTTGGAAGGTAAGCAGCTTAGCTGCTAAATGCTCCATTTTCAGCGCTGTACGCAAGCACCTTATACACGTGCAGGAGCGTCCCAGGACTTGATGCCACTATCATATATAACATCAAGAATTTGCCCCAGGTAGCTCTTCACTGGCATCTGAAGAACCCAACCCTTAAAAAGTAGCATGACAAAAAGAAACCTGACTCTTTCAAAAATCAACCAATCTTGTGCAATAGCCAGGTTCTTGTGTAAAGCTGTGGTAAAATGTCATAATTCTGAAATCGCTTGGCATGTTAGTCCTCCGTTGAGATCATGCCAGATCACCCAAATCTTGCAAGAATCATTCCTTCTTTTTTTTAAAAAAAAATATTTTTGGCTGACATCCAGGAGAGCTTGTGGGCTTGGAAAACAAAAATCGTTGAAGTCTTGTTCTCACCTTGTACTTCAATCCTTGGCATTTGGAAAGAAAACAGGCCTGTCAGCAGTTCAGGGCCACATGCCAGCTTTCTGTTTAAATTGAGCAAAAGTTATTTTTTTTCTCTCTCTCTCTCTTTCCGAGGTACAGAAGTACAGATAGTCCTCGACCTATGACCACAATTGAGCCAACAGTTGCTGTTGCTAAGTGAAATGTTTTGTCAGGGCTCCAAGAAATCCACCCCCATTCAAATCATAAGTCTCTAGCCGCACCTCTCAGAGTTAAAAAAAATACGATTTATTTAGGTATGGCCCCGTTGGCATTAGCTGGGTGCAGCCGACACTAAAATATATCATTCATTTCATCCTTGACCCTGGTCTTCCTCCCACCCCCTGGATGTATATTCTCCAATGAGACACATCCATAGCCAAGAATCATCAATCATGCTCTCCAGTAATAATCTTGCGCGCCAACATCTTCGGCTGCCAAGGCGATTATCTGAAGCATTTAAGGAATGCACTGCTTTCCCCCATTGCCCTTCTGCTGGCAACTAAAAAGACCAAAGGGGTATTTTTTTAGTTGACATGTTTAACTGAGTTTCGCCTCATTTTATGACCTTGCCTGCCACAGTTGTTAAGTCACTCACTGCAATTGTTAAATTAGTAACACGGTTGTTAAGTGAATCTGGCTTCCCCGTGGACTTTTTCAGAAGGTCACAAGAGGTGATCAGATGACCCCGGGAACACTGTCGCTATCATAAATAGGTGTCTGAATTTTGATCACATGACCAAGGAGAGGCTGCAATGGTCATAAACGTGAAAACAGTTATAAGTTCCCTTTTTAATGCTGCCATGACCTTCAGTGGTCACTAAGCAAACAATTGTAAGTTGAGGGCTTCCTGTATGTCTTCAAGAAGGATTCTTCCATGTGTTTTTAAATCAATTGTCTCCAAGTTCTACAGCTTTATGTACCACACAATAAAAGAGGACCTGACCTGGGGTGCTCACATTGCAGCCCTGGTCAAAAGGGCCCAGCAGAGATGATACTACCTGAGACTTCTCAGAAAACAACAACTGAATGAGAAACTGCTGGTGACCTTCTACCGCTGCACCATAGAGAGTATCTTAACTTACTGCACCTGTGTAGGGTTTGTCAATTGCACAGTGGCAGATAGGAAAGCACTCCAGAAGATCATGGGTTGCCCTCTCCCCTCTTTGGAAGAGCTTTATAGCTCCCGGTGCCTTAAGAAAGCTCAAAACATTCTCAAAGATCCATCTTATCCTGGGAACCCTTTTTTTGAACTATTACCACCTGGCAGATGGTACAGGACAATAATAAAAACGAAGGACAAATAGGCTGAAAAACAGCTTCTATCCCAGGGCAGGAGCTCTTTTGAATTCTGCTGTATAGCACAGTGTTGGTGTGTCGGGGATTTTCGGTTCACTGTGTGGAGACTGAAGGATGTGTGTTTGTGTTTATTTTCATAGTCACAATGTACACTGAAGATGGCATTTAATTTCATTGTACGAGGTGCAATGACAATAAAGTAAACTAAGCTAAAAAGCACCTTTTAGGGTCCCCCTAGAAAATGGATCGTGCCTTGTGCTGGATTTGGTAAGGCAGGCAGATGAGATCATGCGTTACACGTTGCACTTTTCCTGCCGTAAGGCTTTCTGAGTTGCGTGCCCCAATCCATTTGGCGTCCCAAAGAGCAGCTAGTTATTTACAAATAATGTATCAACCGCAGGACCGGATCCCTTCTGGAGGGAACGTGCCAGTTTTCATGCTCTCTCTCTCTCTCTCTCTTTCTAACGTCTAGGAAGAAGAGCGGATAAACAAAATGAGCGCAAAGAACCGAATCCCCAAAGATCGTAAGTGGCTCCCCCTTCGCAGTTGGCCATCCAAAGAACGCCCGCCCTTCGTCCCTTGCTAACTTGGTTCTTCTGTGACCCCTTGCAGCCTTCCGACACTTGAAGAGAGGTTATCTGTTCATGTACAACCTCGTGCAGTTCCTGGGCTTTTCATGGATCTTCGTGAACATGACTGTCCGTCTGTTCATGCTCGGGAAAGGCAAGTGGCACATGCTTTGGTTCTCTTCCTGCTCTCTCCGTGCCCAAGAGACTAGAGGGGACTGAAGGGAGAGGTGATTTGTATGGCCCGTGGCTAGATCCGCTCCCGGCCGCGTGTTCCAGCCTCCGTAGTTGAGTCCTTCTGGGAAAGCCGTAACTCGTTGTTTTTTCCTGAACGCCGTCAGTCTGCTAAACAAATAATTCCCTCAACACTGTCCAACTATTTAAAAAGCCTGCACTACTATCACTGTTAATCTTCTCATCGCTCCTTATCACCCATCCCCTCCCACTTGTGTGACTGTGACTTTGTCGCTTGTATCCTTACGATTTATATTGACTGTTTCCTAGTATGATTTGATTGCTTATTGTACCCTATGACTATCATTAAGTGTTGTACCTGATGATTCTTGACTCTTGATGAATGTCTCTTTTCTTTTATGTACACTGACAGCATTTGCACTAAGACAAGTCCCTTGTGTGTCCAATCACACTTGGCCAAGAAAGAATTCTATTCTATTCTATTCTATTCTATTCTATTCTATTCTATTCTATTCTATTCTATTCTATTCTATTCTACTCTACTCTACTCTACTCTACTCTACTCTACTCTACTCTACTCTACTCTACTCTACTCTACCCTACCCTACCCTACCCTACCCTATTGAAAGAGGAGTGGGTTTTAAGCAAAGAATTCTAGGTTTACTCAAAGGTGCTTTTTTCAGGAGGCAACTGGACTTTCTTGTTTTGTCTTTTGAAGACGTTTTGCTTTTCATCCAAGAAGTTTCTTCCGCTCTGACTGGATGATGGGGAATGGAAGGATTTATATTCCTTGCAGACAGCTGGTCATTTGCATCCTTTTGGAGCCACGATGGCGAACCTATGGCATGTGTGCTGGAAATGGGGAATTGCGTGCGCCTTGCATTATGTGTGCAGGCACACATGCGTGCGTGCACGTTTGGCATGCAATGATGAAAAAGTTGTCACAGTTTTAGAAGGTCGTTGAAGCACTTGGAGGTTTGTCTGTGTCCTCAGGTTCACCTCAGTGGTGCAAATGGTAGTCCTGTAGTCTGCAATTGTTTCCTCTGGGAATCCATTTCCAATCCCACACCATTCAAAGTGTCCCAAATCGTGTAGTTAAAAGTCTGTAGAAGTTCTCAGTCATGACCTGGATGACTGAGAATCTCAACTCTGGGGCTAATTCCTAGCAGTTCCACTTCTTAATATAATACCTTGGGTGGTGGGCAGGGGTGGGATTCTTCCAGTTCACACCTATTCGCTAGAACCGGTTGTTAACCTTCTAAGCAGTTCGGAGAACCGGTTGTTAGAAGAAATTACAGGGCTAATCCTGTAAGGAAGGCAGGAAGGAAACATTCTGGTGTTGCTTACAGAAACTGCCTCTCCGTTAACCCTTATTACATTCTTGGCAGGACTAGACTTCCTGTCTCTGGAACATCTCTGGAGTTGTTTTCCCCTCCTTTGCTGGCACTTTGCTTGTGTGGAGGGACCGTTCAAAGTTACAATGGCACTGAAAAAAGTGACTTATGACCATTTTCCCCACTTACGACTGTTGCAGCATCCCCACAGTCATGAGAGGCCAGGCGAGGAGATGCGTGCCTCGATGTGAGTGATATTGAGTTGGCCACGCCCAGCCAATTACAGGTAGTTTTATCTTATGTTCTTGCAGACTCTTTCTCAGATACTTTCCACATGAGTGGGGACATGATGTACTTCTGCCAGATGTTTGCCCTGATGGAGATTGTCAATGCCTTGATAGGCCTCGTCAAAGCTCCTTTAGCTCCTGTCTGTATCCAGGTAATACCTTTGCAAACCATTTTGGAAAGCGTAAAAACTCATTTTTATGGGGCTGGC